AAGACTAGAAGGGAGACACTCACCGGGGTCTTCGACGGAACGCCTTAGCAATTGCATCCATGGCCGCGCCGTGAACTTCAGGAAACTCTCTACGCATGTTCTTATCCATCACGCGTTCTTCAGCTGAGCTAATGTCGTATTCCTCCTGTACGCGATCTAGATGGCTCTTGACTATTTTTATAATCTCATTAATCTGTTTTTGATAAATGTAAGAAATAAAGAGACGGATAAGGTGTAAAAATATAGGTATAGAATGAAGAGGTCAATTTGAGTCTGGAATCTCGAAGAGAGGTTTCGTTAGATTTAAATGCTATTATAAAGATACCTAGATATGCTATTATTAGTTAAAATATTCAAAATAGGAGTTGCATATATGAGATCTAAAAAGAGATAGGCAGATTTGATAATAGATATTGAACAAACCTTCAATCCATTAATCGATACGGGTTGTCATCAAATAAGGCATACCACGTGTTTACCATATTTCACTTAAGTTTATGACGGACTGGTAGTTAATTTTCCCACAATTATATGAGTAGGGCTAATTCTTTCACTGAATTCCACATATCCTTACTCTCCTAAAAGGTGTTCTGTTCCAGGGTTGACTGCAGTATCGATATCGCTAGGGGTGTTGATGAGACCTAGGTGAGTTCCAAACTGCAGTCCACCCTGGATGAGAACACCATTTGGGAAGGCAAGGCTACTTGAAATTCAAAGGAAAACATCAGTTCTATTCATATCATTGTGGCAAAAATCAACTACCTGGCTTTCATCACCTTAAACGAAATGAGATGAACACAATTCATATATATGATCTCAAAATAGTCTTGGAAACCTAAACATTTACTAAATGATGTATAAGTTGGATAAGAAAATTAAAAGGCAATATAGCAGATAAAAGAGTCTAAAGTATAAACACCAAGATGGTGTGGCCTTTAGTATGGTCGCGGACCCTTTTCATAGTATAGAACTTGGTAGACCTTTTTTTCGCAACTTGGTCATAATGGCAGGAAGACCTAGAGGAACGCACCTTGTCTGGAGCCCATAGTATGCATGATAACTTCCAGAGTCGGATTGTGGACTTGCTAAATCCCCAGCCGCTTCGCCGGCATTGTCAGTGAATCTTGTCAGTCGTAGCACCACAACTCGACTTGTCAAAGAGACAAGTGAAGTCGATCCTTTAACAATTTGTCTGTTAGACAGTTCTGGTATCTCTCCTTCTTTCCTGGCGCATTCACCTACCTAAATCCTTATATCACTGACGGGTACTGAGTTCTGGAATGAGAAGTTGGATAAACTGACTTGGATTTGCCTAAGTAACGAGTACCCTTGAGAATTTTTCGAAAGAAATATAGGGGTTATAAAAAGCAGACTTCAACTTGGACATAATGAAAATAAGATCAGGAAGAGGTAGGACGACCAAAAGTGGATATGCCTGCTCTCCTGTGAAGTGAGTCAAAAAATTGCGACCGTTGCTAAGAAAATGAATATAAATATAATAAAAAAAGAAAAGGCAACATTCTTCACCAGCCTGACGACTCAACACTAGAAGGTTAAGAAACCGGATTGCTCGGGAGCTTATAGCTTTAATGCGGCAACTGTTGGAAGTAGTATGTTGATGAAACAGGAAGAAAATCATCTAACGAATCAAGTAACCCCAAAGATTCTGCAGAGACATGGATACCGAAAGATCCGAAATAGCGAAACACATTGCTCGGATGGGATAGAAAATCGACTGGAAATCGATAGAAACGCGGGCTGGAAATGGGAAAAATACAAGAAACGCAAGATACGAGAGCCATCGATATCCAGGCTGAAATAAATCTAATGAATCAGAAACTCGAAGAAGGCATGATTGGCGAAAACTTTGCATACTGCATATGTGAACTCGGAGGAGATCAGGGAACAGCAATATCCATGCAAGGAAGACGACTAGATCAAGGTGATATTTTTAATTTTAGGGAAAGACATCGTAAAGAGACTAAAGAAGAAAAATAGGAAAACAAAAGGAGACGTCTACAGTGAGCCCATTCAAATCAAGTAGAACTATCCCATTTAGGGGTCTGCACACAAGGGACTATGGCATAATAAAGTCATAGACTTCGCAGTAGGGATATAAAAGCATGAGATTTGGCAGAGACCATCGATAGTTGACTATTAGCATGTAGTCGATTGCTATAGCAAATACACGTTTGCTTCATCGGCACTCCCACCTTCCTGGAAATTCCCTTATGCCCTGTGACTCAAGTGTACTCGTGGCAGTGTAGCCGAGTGGTTAGCGTGTCAAGCTTCCATCCTGCACTGTCGCGGTTCGACTCCCGCTGACTCAAGGGTACTCGTGGCAGTGTAACCGAGTGGTTAGCGTGTCAAGCTACCGTCCTGAGCAGTGTAGCTGAGTGGTTAGCGTGTCAAGCTACCGTCCTGCACTGTCGCGGTTCGAATCCCGCTGAGGGCGTTGATAAGACCGATGCGAGGTCGAAACTGCGGTCCACCCTGGATGAGAACAACTTTTGGGAAAGCAAGGCTATGTGAAATTCAATGGAAACGTCAGCTCAGGATGAGAATAACTTTTGGGAAAGCAAGGCTATGTGAAATTCAATGGAAAAGTCAGCTAAACTCATATCGGGATGAGAACAACTTTTGGGAAAGCAAGAGTCAGCTAAAACTCTATCCTGGATGAGAACAACTTTTGGGAAAGCAAGGCTATGTGAAATTCAATGAAAACGTCAGCTCAACTCATATCAATTCGTGGCAAATTTCTTCTTCTACCAGTCCTCCATCACCTAAAACGAAATTGGGTGAATACATCTCGTATTACTGATTAAAGCAAGGTTGAAAACAACTTTTGGGAAAGCAAGGCTATGTGAAATTCAATGGAAACGTCAGCTCAACTCATATCATTGTTGTGGAAAATTCTACTACCAGTCCTTCATCACCTTACACGAAATAGGGTGAATACATCTCATTACATTGATTTAGTGGAAGTCTCCTATATTAGTCCTTCATTACCTTAGACGAAATAGGGTGAATACATCTCATTACACTGATTTACTGGTAGCCTCGAAACCCTACTATCATACGAATATTAGCAGATAAGTTTGATCATAGACGTGGCCCGAGAAGTAAAGACTTGATCAGGAAATGTACTCGGTGCACATGTCACACGGTGAAGCAGCAGTTTCAAGTTTTGGTTTTGATGCTAACTAAGAATCCAGATTTCGAAGGTTTGCTCAGTGACGCTCGTGTATATGTGCTATCAAGGGTTTGAGGCAGGATGCAGAACATAGCGCCTTGAGTAGCATGGATATGGCGGCAGAGAAAGAGCGAAATCACACAACCAGAGACGGATCTTACTGAGCAGGAAGGAGACTCTAATATGGTTTGAAGGAAGAGGATTGTGCCTTGACTTACAC